TAACTGCTGACCGTTTGGGACTTAACGGTCAGCAGTGACGGCAACATGGACGGTGTTAGGGGAGGGACGACAACGAACAAAAATAGCCAAGTAGAGGGACGACGTTTTGGCTCTTTGGAGAGTAGAGGGACGACAACGAACATGACTTTAGTAGAGGGACAAGAATGAATAAAATATTAAAGTAAGAGGGACGACAGTTGGCTTTAAACCGTTCAAAAATTTAATATAAAGTTTTGCCTTTTGCGAAAGGCAACCAGGAATTCCAAAAGAAATAATGGCGGTGACCTGGCGGGGACTCGAAATCAAATTTTAGATTTCTTTGGTTCTTACAACTGATGCAGTCCCTTCCATTAATATCAGTATGTATTGCAAGTTGTTGAGAATTTTATATATTAAATGTTAATTTTAATTTTTTAATTTTTGTGTTTTATATTATTTTTAATTTTTAATTATTTTAAACATTTTTTTAATTCTATGATATAAAAATTATACTTTTTTATGTTCTGTTAATTAATTTATTATATTTATTTAATTTTTGAACTTATAAATTTAAAAATTAAATATGTATTTATTTTCTTTATAAGAGAAACGTTAATTAGGTGTTAGTATCTATTCATATGTCACCATTGGAGTTAAAATCAGGCGAGTTTCACTTGTTACTTTTTGGAGTAACGTGATCCATCCACTTAGTGGCGGAGCTAAGGGGTGCGAGGGGGGCGCTCGCTCCCCTGAAATTTAAAAATTTTGTAAATTAGTATATGAAAAATTATCTAATCTCCTTTGAACTTTAAAAATTTTAGTTTTTTGCCCTCCGAAAAAAATTTTTGTCTCTGCCCCTACATCCACTGAACCATATGAGGGAATTCAAAAATGTATTTATTTAAACATACTTAATAAATTTATTAGTATAAGAATAAACAATATGTATTTTTTAAAATTAAGAGAAACAAAAATATAAAAATTAAAATATAAAAAATACATAAACAACCTCCACATCCTCCCACGGCGTGGATCCCCACCCCGTGGGGATGGAGGGCAGGGGAAATGGCCATCCTCCTCTCTTTTTTTTTTTTTTTTAATATTTTGGTTTCTTGGCCGGTATCTGAGATTTCGCCCCAACTAATTCAGACTCGACTCACATCGTGGACCTGAAAATGGTGGGTGAATCTCCCAACAAAAACTGTTGCATACACAAGGTCTCAAACTCGAAATTTTACTGAAGCTGGAACAAGTTACTTACCACTTAATTCAACCCCTCGTTGGTTGGGAAATAGCCATCCTTAATCCTTTGTATGTAGTTGGTAAATGACAATTATTACACTAGAAATTAAACAAACTAGAAAACACATTTTGATCTTGAAAGCTAGGAGATTATTGAAGCAATTAGATAGAGATAAATTGTTCATTCTTCACAAAAATACATAGATAATTTGTTTTTTAAAATTATAAATCAAAATAAATCACTTATTTTAAAAAAAATTTTGTTAAAAACTTTTGATGTGGTAAATAAAATTTTGACATTTTTTTGTTAAAAAATAAGTGATATGTTTTAATTTATAATTTTAAAAAATAATTTATCTATGTATTTTTGTGAAGAATGAATCTATCTTTATCAATTTTTTTTAAGAGTGAATTTGGTGGTTTTACCTTAGATATATACTCAGTTTAAAAAATAATCATAAGATAAAAATAATAACATTAAATAATATCTTTAAAAAATAAATAAATTTAAATAACTTAAATTAAAAATTAAATTTATTAAAATTTATAAGAGTATTAATTCTTCATCGTGCAACTCCAATAATGAGTCTGTTTAGAGAGCATAAAAAATACTTACTTTAAATTAAAATATTATTCTCCCTCATAAGTTAAAATTTTATTGAAAAAATGTTTAAAAATGATTTTTTAAAGTATAATTTAAATAAGTTTTAAAAAAATTAAATATGTAACTTCTTTAAAATTTACTTAAAATTAATTTTAAATATTTATAATAAAATATAATATTTTTAAAATAAATAATTTTTACATTATGCCAAACTGACTCAATATCTCTAGAAAATCGGGAGCTTCAACAATATTTATAGTCACTTCCACCGACAATACTATTATTTTCCCTTCGAACTTACTATTAAATACCGGTTGAAATTAATAAAAAAAAAAAAGAAGTAGTTAGGTACGTGTCAATTTCACAATTTTACTATTTAAAAAAA